TACTAACTACTAACTACTAACTAACGTACGTACGTACGTTAGTTCGTAGGTAGGTAGTAGTAGTAGTAGTAACGTAACAACGTAACGTACGTACGTACGTAGTAGTAGTATATATACTATACTACTATATATATATATATATATATATATATATATATATATATATATATATATATACATATATATATATATACTGATCCCGATCTCACCTTTGTAACGTAAAGTGGTGCACGCTGTATAATGCGACACGAACTTAATAAAACTGTTACGCGAGTAATGTAGATAAATTCACATACCCTGTGAGTTCCACATGCTTTCTATCCAGTGGTAATTTATCGGCAGGTGGTTTATACTCTAATGCTAGTCTGGGTGCAAAGTATTGCATCAACTGTGGTGGTAACGACCCTGACATGGTTGCTGCTTACGATTCAATCTACACTTTAAAGCTTTATTTATATATACACTTGTTTACACTATTTCAGACGGTTTCGTAGGTACAGTGTGCAGTGATTTTGTGTGTATGTGTAGGAGTGTATATTCCACAGATTACGGGTATGTATACTGTGTATTTACTATACTTACGTGTAAATAGTACGTGTGCATTTAAACAAACACACCTCTATTTTCTCTCGTGTTCACTACACAGTAAATAAAAGAGGAAACACCATTGTATGAATCTCGAGAAAACCGCCTTGGAGAATATGCAGTCTATTTTTAAAATAGTTCTATAAATAGAACTTTTGTAATTTGTTTCCAGAAAAGTGTAAACTAGTACAAACGTAGTGTTCGTATCAGAAACTAATTATGAACCTTTCAGAAACTAGTTTCGTATCTTTTTCCGAAAATGCGGATAATAGCGGTCCAATACGAATCGATTAAAATTAAAATTGAAGTCGATTTCGGTAAAAAATAAAGGTTTTACTCCTGATTGCACCGAAACGATTGGGAAACAGGTTGGGTAGAAATACCTGATATTCTCAAATCTCAACTGTCCTTAACTCCATTCATATCAAAACTGTCTTCGGGTTCCTCATATGCTTGGTCCAAATTCACATCATTTCTCTTGGTCTACTTTCACTTTTTTCATTTCGGGAGGCAGATTAGAATTGACCTGAAGAAACAAGGACCAATTTATTTTTTGGTAGGCCAGACACAAATTTTAGTGTATCATTATGAATTTAACTTTTTGGGACAATCTACTCGTTTTGAGAACTGTATTAGATAAATATGTCATTGTCAGCAACAATTTTTTTTAAAACTAGTCTATTTATAGTTTATCAATAGACTCCGATCACAGTCCAGAATTTTTTTGGTTGTCTCTATGAGAATTGGGGAATGTGGAGACACTGTTTTAGGTGTTCCCCGTTAAAAATCCGCGTCGCAAATGCGTATGATACGGTCGTTAATTTGACTTTTTTTAAGTAAATTGAATTATCCTATTCGATTTTGCACGAACGGGGCTACCGAAGATTGTTTCCCCAGACCACTCAGTCCACCGTAGTTTATAGCCACTCGAAGTCTCGAAGTATCAACTGACAAACACTTCACAAGCAACCAAAATTACCAGGAATTGAACAATAAGTTAATAAGAACAGAACGATCCGTGTTCGATAGTGTAGTAGACCCTTCTGCGCAATAGTAACCCGCGTACAGCTCCTTGTGTGCGGCACTCACGATATTGTGCGCCTGGATAGCCGCTTTAGTGTACGCGCCTGTTGGTGTAATTAGCCCTCGTTGGTATCTTAACTCCTTGGTAAGAAGAAAAGTTAGCATGAACGTTACAGTGAAGAATCGAATAGTTAGCATGCACTTCTCAGACCAAACTTGTACTTCGAATAACGCATCCTCGCAAGCAGACATCCTATTCAACTAATTCCTGTCAGCTATCAATACATCCACTTTGAGTTTCGCTATCATATAGTTATGTAGTTTTTATTTGTCGATAGGAGTTTATTCGCTGGTGAAGTGTTCATATAGCTTGAAATACTCAAAACCTCCTAGGTTTCAGATCTGCCAGCTATATATAGGCCACTGTACATCTGAGGGTTTCCCTCCTCGCCTGCCTTTAATTGAAATCAGGTTATATGATTTGTACTGAATTATCTTTGCACGCACCTTGTTTTGGCTTTGTCCATTGTAGTACATAAGGCAACATGGGGTGCGGGATATCTAGTGAAGACAAAGACGCCTTCGACAAGAACAAGCAATTGGATAATCAGCTGAAGGCCGAGAAAGATAAACTTCGCAATGAGGTGAAGCTATTACTATTAGGTAGGTCATATTTGACAGATTTTTATTTGTAAGTGGTTTCATTTTCAGGGTGTATTGCAGATTGGAGGCCTTTTTGTTACTAGCGTGCTAACCTGTAATTAAAAGCGACTTTTGAGTGACAATCTGTATAGTCTAGCCGCGTGGATTGACCACTGTTTTATAGCTCATATCATATCCTATATATCATTTTAATTCTTACTTAGGTGCCGGAGAGTCCGGAAAGTCCACTGTCGTGAAGCAGATGAAAATCATTCACGAGAATGGTTTCTCTAAGGAAGAGTGCTTACAATTCCGCGATGTTGTATACGATAATACGATATTCTGTATGCAAACTATTCTTAGGGCGTTTCCTCAACTGGGCCTGGAGGTTCCCGAAGATGTGAAGGTGTGTATACATACGAAGGGGTTGGCTTTTTTGGTTTATATCACCCGTAGTAGCTTATGCCAGATACTTCCCCACATACGAAAGTTGTGTATATTTCACTGATCGTGCATTTGTTGTATTCAAAGCTACTCCTTTGCTCGTTTTGCAATCTTATTTTATCACTATCGTCATAGTGCCTCTACAAGTCCTCTGCAATCTTCAATCACTATCGTCAAAGTGCATCTACAAGTCACTTGTAGTTCAATGTTACCTACGGTTAGTCAAAAGAGGCTATTAGACAATCAAGTTACTTTAATCGATAGTTCGACGGCGAAGATTCATCATAAGCAGGATATTAGAATAGTAGCAAGCTAGTAGTCATGATAGTCTTTAAACTGTGGGAGTTTTAGGGTTGTTCAACTGGAACTCGGTAGCGGGATTGCTTTTACTATCATATAGCATTAAATGGAAGATGAACACAGTATATGGCGTATATCTTCACGTAAAATCGCTTTTTAAACGAATTGGGGCGTAAAATTGAGATTGATAGAGGGTGAGTGAATGAATGCATGGATGGACGGATGGATGGTGAGTAGTTGAATGAATGTTTGATTTGCTGGTTGACTGATTGATTGATTAATTGACTGATTGTAATCGACTTGTAGAAATACGAAGCGGAGATGTTGGATCTGGGTGAGAATCTCGAGGGTGTTGGCATGAGAGAGCCAGTTGCACATGCAATCAAAGAACTCTGGGCGTGTCCTGTTGTACAAGAGGCCTACACGCGCCAGAAAGAGTTCCAGCTCAACGATTCAGCCAAATAGTATGTACAATGTAGGGTTCTGATTGTTCCGAAAGTAATTCTTGTTATGCCTACTATGTGTAGTTTATGTGTACGTGGTTCCTTATGTTTCAATTTCTCTATATTGTTTCTGTCTTTCGTGATTTTTACCTTTGGCGGCGTCTTTTTTATATACATGTAGTGGCTGGCCGTCTGCTACGTGGTAAAAGAAATAGGAAAAACACAATGTCACAGTCTTTTTTTAATTTTAAATTTATGTTGTAAGGGAACGAACGATGCTACGTATGTGTATCGAGAAGTTTTAGTTTGGCTTCGACATATCTCAGCGCGAGAGTTTAGAGATAAGTTCTTTTCTAGTAATGATTAACATTTTTTTGCCCGTGTCTTGTTGTTGTACGCTTATTGGTTATTTAACAATGGTTTCAGCCTTCAGACAAAAGTGGTCTTATGTTGAAAAGTGTGTCTAAGCTTGTGCATCTATTCATGCACACGCTGCTTGTCTTGTCTGTACCGTACATAATTGGACTTCATTTTATCCTGTCTGCGCATGGGCTATTTATGGGCTGGTACCGTTTGTGAAGAGCATCAAATTACCAGTCGTGGTCGATATTTACTATTCTAAAGAATAGCGCTATACGCAAATAATTATGAAGGACTATGGATTTGTCTGAATGCTTTCATAGCAGATGCGTGGTATTAATCAATATCCATGCACTCTACCTGATATATTTCTCATTAGTATTACCACAATGTGTACTATCTGGCTAGGGTTAATGCTTATATTCTTAGTCTACTGTGTGGGCAAGGAGGAACTTCTTAGAACAAGGAGACACTTCTTAGAAAATCGGAGATGTTGGCTATCATATACATATATTAACGAATTGGGATGTTTCTTCATTACAGTTATTTCGATGATATTGACCGAATCGCCGCACCCGAGTACATGCCCACCGATCAGGATGTACTGCGATCCCGTATCAAAACCACCGGAATTATCGAGACGAATTTCGTATATAAAAATTTACAGTTCCGGATGTTCGATGTCGGAGGTCAAAGATCCGAGAGAAAAAAGTGGATTCACTGTTTTGAGAACGTGACCGCCATTATCTTCTGTGTCTCTCTAAGTGCATATGATCTTATGCTGACAGAAGACGAGTCTCAGGCATGTCAGTGTTCTGTGCGTGCGTGTGTATATTGCGTCTTTTCCCGTTTGCCAGTGTGTACGTGTACTGGTGTGGGTGGATTATTTGGTTTGTGTTTACTTTTGCCATGGAAACACACCTTGTATGCGAGTATACCCGCTATTCAATACGGAGAGTGCTTAGCTGTGACTGTCTAAAATACATGAGGTGTGGGTGGGGAGGGTAGATCGAAACTGGTTAGCGCCACTAATTGATAACAAAGTATCAGATGAAGCGTGTTTTTTTTACTTGTAAAAAATATAATAGGGCTTATGAATATATAGTCCTGAAAATATCAATTATCTTGATGTATTTTTAATTTCGAGCTGTTCGACTACTCCACTACCTATATTTTCATATAATATAGTATCGGATTGTTCGATTATCTATATTATGTTACATGCATATTTTTAAAGATAACACTCACACACTCACTCGCATATATATATATATATATATATATGTACGTATTTATTAATATATGTATATGTAAATATATAACGATGTATCTATATATATATTCATCGTATCTCTGTATATATCTATTTACATACATCTATGCATAAATATAAACACACACACATATATATATGTATATATACATACATACGTATATGTGTATATATACATACATATATATATACATATATTACATGCATGTATGAATGCATACGCAAACAAACACACATAAATACATATATGTTTGATATATGTATATATTATATGTATTTATATATATATAATTATGGATGTCGAAAAGATAGGATACAAGTATAAATACGTTATATATTTACATATCTATATAGTATCGTATATGTAGGTATATACATGTATACATTTATTTATGTTTAAATACACACACGCACACACATACACACTAGTATATATATCTATAAATATATATATATAGCTGTATTTGTGTTTTTATATGTATATGTATACATATTTTATAGACTCGTTCTGTGTATTTGTTTGAAGATGTATATGTGTGTGTGAAAGTGTATGCCTATATATAATGTAAATACATGAACATATTTCGGTCGTTGATGTATACGTATCTATTTCGTCATATTTCTAATAGTGCCTTTTACGCGCAGACATATATGCTGGTCTAGTATTTACGGTATACACCGTGTCTACAAAGTGAATGCTTTTGTAGTGTATAAGTTTAATATTTATTTAAGGGATACGTATAGTTTTATCAGTATGTGCAAATATGCATGATTTTATCAGTTAATCAATTCTGTATGATATGTACAACGATTGTTCTGAATGCATTCATATCTTAAAATAAGCATGTTTGTTCCTAATTGACCGTAGATTCAGAGGTTATATATTGATGTATGACAATTAAATATGTAAACGTACACGTGTACGAATCCAATTGGGTGCAATGTTATACAATCTGGAAAATATACTTCCTGCCGCTTGTTTTCGTGTTGTGTGTCTGTCTGCTTATATAGTACGAGTAAAACATACCTTTTATCTGTAGTTTGTATCGCTATTTTTCTTCTTCCTTGGGTTGAATGGGTTTGTTAAGTGCATTCTCATAAATATTGTATTTTTAAAATGATGTGATTGTCTATATTCATTCGTACATCTACATACATCTTTGTTCCGTCACATACTTCAATACATGTATATTTTTATTCTTGTTATGATATTTATATTATAGACAGTCGCATATATATGTCTAAAGAGTTAGATGTATGCTTTATTGTTCCTTTCCGTGTCATACTCGATCGTATTAGAGTTTAAAAAATCGTTCGTCGTACTGGTCTATTCTTGTACTTAAATTGTCGGCATTCACGAAATATTTTATGTTTCAGACAACACCATGCACTGTTCATTTTAATAGTTGTAGAACTTTATGACTGCTATTCACAGATCCAAATCCCATTTTTATTCTTCTTACAGAACCGAATGCACGAGTCCCTCAAGCTTTTCGACTCGATCTGCAACTCTAAATGGTTCGAGCGCACTTCAATCATTTTGTTCCTTAACAAAACTGATTTATTAAAACTCAAGATCCTGACGTCACCCTTAGCACAATGTTTCCCGGAATACACAGGTACGTTATGAAACCAATTTCTATTGTTTACGAATTTCGGTGAGGATGTATTCTGTTTGGTTTGAATGTGATAATCGCTTGCTGTATACGTTGATACGTCTGGTGCAATCCACTTTTGTTCTATATCGAGTATTCTCTCACATGGCTCGGATCTATACCATACATCTGTGCGTCATTTGTGTATATCTTGTGTTTAAATATTATATTTGGGGATCCAGAAATACCATAATTCGATTTTGTCATGTTATCCAGGATGAGTGAATTGCCTGTGACTGCCGCGAGTTCGTGTCTAGGGAAAGTATACCATAGCTATAGATACACTGCGACCGACGATGCGTGTGATGCAAGGCAGAAAATAGATATACATTTTGCACTGCGACCGACAACGCATATACATGAATACATACATACATGCATTCATTCATACGGAAATGCATAGACACGCACACATATAGATATATATAAGTATACGTATATATCTACATACAAACAAACACACACCCATGTATGCACACAAACATATGTCTATACATATGCAAAAGTATATATCTATATATCCACATGGGAATTAGTGTATGTAAATATATCTTATGTTATCTGTCTGGACATATTATATGTATACAGTATATGAACAAATAAATATATAAATATCTATTGACATATATGTATATACTCAAATTTAGGGTTTCAATCATAAATACGTACATATACATCTATATATATATATGTATGTATGTATATAGTCGCATTCATATATATTCATATAAACACACAAACAGAGAGAGAGACACACTCACGTATATATATTTATATTATATCTATATATATATACATATTTGTTTTTTTATTTGTATATATTTACAAATGTATATATATGTATGTATATGGGTGTATGTATCTGCATATATGTTATGTGTGTGTATGTGTACATATATACAATGTATACATGTGTAAATGTATATGTACACGCATATATATATATATATGTTTATATTTTTCATATACATAAATGTATAAATTTATGTATATTTATATATACATACACACGCACGCACACACACGCACACACACGCTTATATATATATGTATAGATTTTTATATATATTTATATATATATATATGTTTGTGTGTGTATACACTTGTATGCAATTATACATATATATATATATATATCTTTATTTATATGGTTATGCATATATATATGTGTGTGTATGTACAACTGTATATACGCTTATACACCACGTGCACACACACATATATATTTATATACATACATATTATATTTTATATTTAATTATATTTATATATATATATACATGCACACATACATACATACATTCATTATAGATATATAGTTGTAGTTGTAATTGTAGTTGCGTTTAGATTTATATATCGAGTTGTATATACATATATAAAAATAGATATACGCATGACCTTGGTGAGACATTAGGTCATAGGTTGTGTTCATGTGATTACCATGCCCTAGACCACTGGTGTAGACATATAGATATCCCTAGTCTACCCTTGATTCATAGCGTGTGGCATATATAGGGGAGATAATCTTTTATAAAGACGATATATATGTGTATGAATGTAATGGATTGTATAAATTTGTATAGATTGATATTTTTATAAATGTATATTTATCGATTTATATATACTTAAACTAATATTTATATATATAGTATGTATGTATGAATGAAGGAATGAATGATTCGACCGCCATCTTACAATCATAATTGAAGCTATAGCTCATCACACATATTTTTATTCTATACAGGAGGAGATAACTACTCTGAGGCCTCTGCGTATATTCGATCGAAATTTGAAGCGCTCAACCGCTCGCAAGAGAAGCAGGTGTATACTCAGTTTACCTGTGCTACCGATACAGACAATGTCAAGTTCGTCTTCAACGCAGTAACCGATATAATTATTCAAAACAATCTGCGAGATTGCGGACTTTTGTAAATCAGGTTTACCCCGACTTAAATATAAAATCATCTGGTAGCACACCTAGTTGATCGCTGCAACGCAAGTCTGTTTGTTAATTTGTATGTCAATATAGCTTAGATCTTCGTACGATCAGATGGAGGTGTGAAGCTTTGCATATGAATACGCTGAGATTACCTATTTCGTACTTGTTTGTAGTAATTATATACCCTACAGATAACTATTGTTATCATTTAATCCTATGTTGCTATGCCAAAGCCTTGCTGCTTACTCTTTATGTATAGTTTGGTTAATATCTTGCTGTACACACATGAACCGTTGTTCAATATTTGGCGGACCTTTCGTTTATCAATGATGTCACTTAACATGTGGTCCAAATCCGTTTATGCTATCAACATATCAGGGACCTACGAACATTCCTGTTTCAAAATGGGCCGTTTGCTCTGTACTCAAACACGTGTTTGATTGCAAATATATACATGCTGGTAATATGTATCCTCCCTCAATACCGTATTTTGGGTGTGTAGCTACTTCCAGTACGTATCAAATGCTGTTAATGGCGCTATCATCTGCGTCTGCTGGAGATGCAAAAGCCAAGAGCAGTTGCTCAAGGCTGCCTTCGGAGTGTGGGCAGAGAGTGTACACGTTGGCTACAACACCTCCGGCTCGCCAATTACAGTTTCCAAATCTCATGGGCATACTCGAGCTTTGGGTGACCTCTAAACGTACTTTGCACATTCTGTCGAGTTTATTGCTGTTATGGAATGATCTCGCCGTTGCGAACCTTCTTGTTTCCTTCGGTTTGACGATTTAAAGCTCTAGGTGGCCTCCAAATGTGCATTCTAAACACATGTCAAGTCTTATTGCTATGATGACAAGGCCTCGACTTATCGAACCTCTTGTTTCGTCCATTGTGATTCGACCGATGATTAATGGGTTCGCACACCGCGGCTGGTTCTGTTCGCGTGAGACAATACTTAAATCTTTCAATATCTCCCGAGATTTTTGTTTAGCACACATCGACGACATAGGTGCAATAACGGATTCATGGTTAACGTAGTTGGAGATGTTTTAGAGATATCAAATTTATGTATAATATAGGATACCTGTTCGATACCTACATCTATGTATGAAGCTGCCATATATATTCTCTAAAAAATAAACTGACTTTTTGTGTCAGACAACTATGAGCGAAGCTACCTGACGAACCGCCGCTGGTCATTTATATAAAAAGACACTGCAGCAGAGTGTGCATTCAGCAATCACCATTCAGCATTGTGCAAGTTCAAAAATTGGTCTGATACCAAAAAGCAAATGTGTATTATCGATTCGTTTCTATTGGCTATCCAAACACTAATGACAAAGTGCAGTTGTGCACAAATATAACCACAGGAAGCAGTGGGTACTGGATATACCAATTTAAAAAAAGGCGATGTTGTTTAGGACTCGCATGTATATCAATCCTGGTGTAAACTTATCTCCTCTCTTGTGTACAGTTTAGTAGGCAGTGATCAGAACATAAATGTATCAAGACTAGATAAACATAAAAATAGCGTCAATGAGTAGACACGGTGTCGATGATTTTTCTCGGTACCGTTGATTACTACTGCAAGGAAGTAGTAAATCTTGGGGTGTACGATTCTGATACGAACTTAAATCGCTTGAATCGATTATGTGTCACTATGTATATATGTGCCTAAAAAGAAGTACACAACTACGAGAATGTTCAAATAAACATCCCAGAAAGATGTTCATACATCGCAGCCTTCCGCGGAAGTTGAAAAATCTCAGCTTGATTATTTGCCTATGAGAGCGACGTTGCATCTCAAATGTATTTAAAGCATAGCGGAAAGAGCCCATATGCACGAGGTTACCCTACGCCCAGTATTACTGAATAAACTCTTCTGGTATAATTATCAATGATCCGCTTTTGGATGTGCAACGCTATGTTTGATCAATCCAGTATATCCCACTATCCTTGAATTGGCTAGAAACATCCCAGGATATCGGACCTTTCAGCAACAGCGACAGTCACAGCGCTCGTCCATGCAGCTGCAGCGTGTCTTGAGTCTATATACTCGTTTCGAAGTCACCGACTTCGAAAAACGGTCAAGAAATGCATTGACTCAAATCACTCCAAGATATTTTTTGAGCACTGCTTGTGGTTTTATATTTTGAACGATTGAACTTACGGAGCATTTGCCTGAGCAGCCGTTCTCCACGTATCTTCTCGAATAACCAACCGCCATGATAGTCAGTAACGCTCTTAAAAGATATTCTGGGTATGGACTTCATAGTTAAACGATATAGTGTCAAGCAGCGGACAATAACCATGATACAAATGTACATAGAGTACTGTGGTATATGGAAAACTGGCCGCAGCACACTGTGTCTAGTACGAGAATTGCTGACTTAATAGAACGTAGTTGTTTCGCAATCAACAACAACGATAGATCCCGGTATGCTGGTCGTACTAAAGTGGCAGTGTGTGAAATATTATGCGTGATTTGCACAGCGCCAAATCTGATTGCTTCTCTATACATCAACAACTGTCGCAGAAATATTTTATGCCAGCGTATGAATCAATTGACAGCAGCGACCAAACTCCATCATTATAATTTAAACTCGATACTGCTATGAGGCGAGGTAAGTTATCACGAACAAAAACGTACATCCACTGTTCAATTTAGGTTCATCTACGTCTATGTAAGTGAAACATGTTTCATCGTTCCTCCGTTTGCACCGTTTGCACTATGCAAGTTGTGCGTGGACGATCTACATTGGCAACTACAAAGTTCAAGTATAGTAAGTATATAACGAGGGCTTTCCAACAATGCATTATTCAAACATAGTATTTTTTTAAAAATATGCAACGTCTACGTCTTTTGCTTTTTCTCGGTGTTTCATGGCTGACAATTTTGTCTGCAGTGATTGGCCTTACTATTGATAGCACAGCCGGGTCACTTTCTCCAGAAATTGAGAGTCTGCCAGTGCGAGGAATGTATGTGAGTCCCTACGATGTCACCGAAACGGGTTTGTTCGGTGCGATCATTTCAGACCCATGCAAAGTAAACGCACTTGTTCATTTCATACAGGCGCACTCAATAAAATCTCTGAGTCTCTACGACTTGCACCGCATACTCCCGCACCCAGTACTAACCGAACAACTAGCCGATTTCATACAACATGTGCGGCGATATGGGGTGGTAGAGGTGAACGCAATTGGTGCAGTATTGCAAGATTTTAAAAGAATCGGGGAGTATCTGGCAGCACATGCCTCTAGTGAGCAGTTCGACGGCTTGCTCACGGAGGTCGAATTCTGGCACTACCCTGATGCCGATGTGAAGTATGCAGATTTTGCTGCTCTGCTGCAAGAAATAAAGACGTTCAACCTAACCGCACGTGGCAAATCAATGCCACTTGGTGCCTATCTGGGCTATCTGGATGATTCCACAGGCGCCAGCGCTATCGAAAAAGCAACAACGATATCGGCACTAACCGACAGTATTTACTTGCATTGTTACGGTCAGCAAGGATACCAGACCTTTGGCGTGTGTCAGGAACGTTTGCAATTGTTTGCAGATACCCAGGCGTCGGTCAAAATTATACCCATCTTCAGTGCGGAGGGTGGAGAATATCATGCTGCCTACCCTTTCCAAGGGGACTTTTTTCGAGCCACTGGAATTGACAGTGGCGAGGCGCTCTTCCGCGAGGCATTCACAGCCGATACACATGTCGCAAACTCGAATTTGCAACTGGCAAGTTTTCAATATTATGAATACAGGTATCTTGGTCGCTACCTGCCCACGACAGAAAGCCACACTAGTCTGGGCTGCTCTGTGAGAAAAGCTGCGAAAGTCCTTTGACTATACACGTTTTTATTTTCGTATATGTATGTGCTTTTAGTGTAAGAATATCGTGATCAGAAACAGAAGTCCCCAATAAAGAATTCAGCAAAGAGTAGCATGAGATACCAATCTTGTGAACACCGTAGCTCTCAAAATTTTCGTCATCGATAGTCTTTAAACTGCACTTCTCGCACGTGTTGTGCAGGTGAATCTGCACCGCGAGTTTACTTAAATCCGTTCCGTCGCAACGGAATGTGCTCGTAACAGGGATATTTGATAAAAGACTTGAGGGAATTAAGTTTTGGTATCATTATGTGTCGAATACGTTGTAGCATACGTATGTAGTGAAGTGAATTGCTGGGTGTTATGGTGCAATCCGCGTCACACACAAGTCTATTCCGCGAGTATGATAGCCTTTGTACACATTACAATTCTGTCAGGCCTGCATATAAATATTGTATTTGCCCAACTTGACTGTCTGCTTTGATATATAAATCGTGACACGCTAGATACGAATCTCGTAAAATATGTGTACAGGCTAGAATGCAGCTGTCGTACCATACAATCATCAGCATTTGTTATTAGGTAATTGATGTGTACGTGTAGCAACCATTGATACAGATGATGTACACTGGCTTTTTCAAGTTGCGCTTCTGCAGGGTTGAGTCCATCGTACTGCCCCTGGAAGAAATCATAATATAATATGGCAGATTGCTGAACTATATATGTATATACCTCGACATCAAGTTAAGGACCTTCCCTACTCATCTACAACTATATGGCGCGGACATCCAATAGGTAGGTAATACGACCCTCCTGTCCAGAATTTGGGTAGCTAATCAGCTAGTCTTCCATTTAGGACTGTGTGACGACACCTGCAAAAAGTTGTATAGTACGTCTGAAAACCTCACGGACGACAAGACCTATTGCGCAATCAATCTTAAATAAAATGTCTTTCTAGATCGAAACGCGATTGTCTAAGTATATTTTTAGATAACACCTCGAATTCCAACTCACTCTACTGCCTAAGATCGACAGCAAAATTCTAGCGTAGGCATTATGGTATTTACAGATTGTATCACCAAGTATTCATTCAACTTTGAGAGGAAATTTTGTACCAGCACTCAGCAGATGCCCCAACCAGCTTCTGGGGCATAGTCGGTTTGCTTATAGGCCAATTGCCGTTTGAAATTCTCCTCCACAATGTGTGGTTACATTTAAAGCAACCATAGCATGACGAGGGATCGTACGTGCGCCATATTCTATAGACAGTTTATGCATTGGTGATGCACTTATGAGAATGACTGTTGCTACACAAAAATACAGCATTCCAATTTGTGCGACGTTGAATAAATCGATAAACTAAACCATCGGACAGCTTTGCCACACTAAAACTTGTATTAAAAATGTACAACAAAAAAGTGCACATTCTTCTATATCGCATATATATATATAAACCCCACACACACACACACGTGTACACACACACACACACAC